TTGAGAGATGCTCATAGTCCTCTGGAACTAGTTGATGACCTAGGAGGGCAAGAGGCAAAAAGTGTCCTTCATGTCCCTCTGACCAAATTATTATAGACCTCAAAGTATGTCTGTTAAACACCCAAGAAAGTTAGTTCCACCAGTCTGGTATTTTTAATTACTGTGTGTCATATAGAAAAATCTTAGGCAAAGATCAGTTGTTCTCAAATAAACCTTACCTAGATATAAATTTCTTGATCTGCTATGTATAATTTTTCAATAGGTTGTAGGAGTAATATGGTTCTTACTGGTTTTCAAAGCTAGCCAGGCATTGTTTATCTCTCACATTGTCTCACCCCTCCATCATGCTTTTCCCTCTTAATGTGCTCCCAGTGCCCCCCTTTCTCCCATAATACCCTTCTCCTGTGGTCCTACCTCTCTTGAGCTCCTTCTTTCCCTTTATGCCCTAGGTTCTTTGTATACCCTTCCCTCCCCCCTCCCTTAAACTGATAGGAATAGCAGAGATTAACTTTTTTATATATATAAAATTGCACATTTATTTTTAGCAAAGCACTTAAAAAATCAGCATCTTTTCTTCTGAAAAGGAGGGTGTTATTTATTTGAAAAGTTTTCTGTGTACTGGAATCAGAAAGCCATTTAAGAGTTCCTTCTTTCTTTCTTTTGGGCCTTAGTTCCTTCCTCCCTGAAAAAGAAATGTTAGTAGCCTCCCTGCTCCAGGCACTTCTTGTGAAGATTAGTGAAAACCTTTATTTGAAAGTATTTGACAACACTATGGAAATAGATCTAATTGGTCTGTGAAAATTGGGGAAGAGATTTAAAGGAACCCTCCTGAACCCCTCCCTGGGCTTAAAGGTCCCTGCCAGTGTACCTCAGACCTGTCCTCTTTGCATTCTCTTATACACCAGGCCAGCCACACCTAGGTTCTCATAGAATTTCAGACACAGATGCCTCCCTTTAACCATAGCATTCTTTCAGACCCATCCTCAATTTTGCTGCCAGAGTCACCTTTCTGAAATCTGAATCTGTTCATCTCTAGATGGTCTTCACAGAGTTCCATCATGGCAGACAAGGGACTTTCTGTTCCAGCTTTTCTGCTTTTCCAACTCGATTAAATACAATTCCTTCATTCAGAAGAACCCAGTTAAAAAATCGTGAAGTCCCCCCAAGACAACATATGTTTCTCCACTTGAAGTAACTCCTAGGATTTCTAGTATTATCTTGCCCCTGCAAACTCAAACAAAAAGCCCCTCAAGGCAAGCTCTTATATGAATTTAATTCATGAACTCTTTCTCCAAACCCACCATAAATGCCAATATTAGCTTTAAAAATACTGAATGTTTTCATTTACTAAACAATGTTTATCCAATGTCATTTGCTTGCATGCTATTAATATCTGGTGTTTAATAGACATCATCTCAATGTAATTACCTCATTTTTGCCTTTACTTATATGTATGCATAGCAAAAGCATGAAGTCATTCTAAGATAAATGATTTGAGTATTCAAAGCAGACGTATTACTCTTTTATTGTAGGTGTATCAACTTACCTATGCCTTGCTCCTGATGGAATCTGGGATCCCCAAGGACCAGATCTCAGCAACTGCTCTTCTCCTTGGGTCAACCATATAACACAGAAGGTAAATATGAGACTTATAAGGAAGACTGGATCTATATCCCTTTGTTGTTGATTGTAACTATTGAAAACTAAATAGGATTCTTAAAAAAATGTAGAACAGTTCTTTCATTTTAACTGAGTTTCAGATTTAATGACAACCTCTAATAATACTATGTGCTAATTCTAAGATTCAGTTGTTTTTAAAAATATAAACCCATGAAGTTCCTCTAAGCCAAGTATTAGTGCTTATACTAAATTTATTATTAATCAAATTTCTATCATACTCTGAGCTATAAATACAAACATCCAAGAGGAATTACCTATCAAGCAAACAAAAGTGTTGAGCATACGTACAACATGGAATGTGTGGTGGCACATGTTTTAATCTCAGCACCTGGGAGGCAGTGAGTTCCAGGTCAGCTGGGGCTACAGGGAGTCCCTATCTCAAAAAGACCATTAAAAAAACCAAAAACCAAAAAATAATAATAATTATGCTAAAGAAAATTCTACCTCTGGAATCCTAAACCACTTGACAAATGTGTGTAGCCTAATCATTTATCAGTGCTACAAGTACACACATGGGCTCTTCAGTCTCAAATTTGCAGGGCTTATTCAGTTGCAGTATGTTGAACATTTTTATTATTAATGCACTGTGGGGCTTTGCATTGATTTCATTACAAACAGAGACCAGATGTGCATTTATGCCAAAGGGCTAGGGGACAGATCCTTATTATAGAAATTTATGTGGATTTATGCACTCCGAAAATGGAGGGCCCATCTATGGCACATTAGCTGTGCTGAGGAATTTCTGAAAGAGATTTTTTTTCCTAAGAAATATTACAAATAATGGCCTTCCTAAAAGCTTCCCTGTGCCATTTGCTCTTTTCGGTATTTGTTTTTAACCAGGCTTATTCTCAATAATATACTGTATAATAATCCATAAATATCTTCCCAGTAGATCATTTAGCAGATGAGCCATAGCTATCTATTCACCCTAAATCACGGAAGAACATGGCTTTTCTGACTCTGTTACTCTCTTTCATATGCATCTCCATACTTGTTGCTATTCATAAAGCTACTTCTCCAGTTTCAGCACTGTTCCTGCTACAGCTTTTATGTCCTTTGATTTTATTACAATGTAGCTCAGACCCTGGGGCAAATAACTCTTGCTGGATGTGATCAGATTAAGAGATCAGCAGCATATCTTTTTAACATTAGCAACTTAAAAAAAAAATGCTCCCTAGATACTTAGCCCAGGGGTTAATATAAATTCAATAATAATTCACCTAGAAAGCTGAGTGTTTTCATGATAATTTCTGAATATGGTTGGGCTATTTCATTGCAGAAATTGCTGGGTGACTTGAACTGATAATGATGGTTAATTCCTTTCTTTCCTCTGCAGCCCTGCTAATCTTAGGACAAAAGAGATAATTCCTTTCAAAGACCAGACAGCTGTTGCCCATTTGATTCATGGAGGGGATGTTTTTGTTTTGTAATAAATAGACCCTGTTCTTCCAGAGCATTTCTGTTTAATCCTGATGAGTCTATAAAGTTAGGATATAGTATAATCATATTCAAATTAAAGAATTTAGTCAACTGGAATTTATAACAATGTCTTGAATTTATGAAATCTTCAAAAGCGCTTTCTCCATCAGCTTCCGACTGCTGGAGGCTCTCTGAGGGTACTGGGGGTTTTCAGCTCCACCTTCATCAACACGTCTCTCTTACTCCACACCTGCCAACCTCCGAATAAACGATGATTGCCTTCTGAGCCACGCATGCCCACTGCCCTGCCAGGCTCTCCTTAGTTTGTCTGCCCTCTCTGCCTGGTTAAGGCTGCTCTGTAAACCACTCTGTGAACATGGAAGAAAGCTGAACAAATTTCTTTCCCATCTCCCTCTTTTTAGTTGTCTCTTCCCTCTCTCCTCTCTCTCTCTTTTCTGTTTTATTTTTCACTTTCCCCACGTCCTCTCCCTTGTTCTGACCTCCTACCTTCCCCACTTTTCTGATTTTTTTTTCTGCCATTTTAGAAGATTGAAGTAAAATTGATATCTTAATGATTTATTTTCCCCTTCATCTCACTGAAGCAGAGGAGTGGCTTTCTGTCAAGGCTTAAGTTTGGGAGTGCATGCACCCTGAAGAGTGATGCCCTTCTGTCTTACCCTGTTTGATGTCTGTAACAAAATTCCATGGATTAGGTGGTTTATAAACAACATAAGTTATTTCTTACAGTTTTGGAGGCTGGAAAGTCCAAAATTAAGTTACCAGAAGATTCAGTAGCTGGTAAGGACTTTTTATGGGGTTCAGAGCTGGTGGCTTCTTGCTGCATCCTCACACAGTAGAAGGGACCAAGCAGCTGTTTAACACCTCTTCATATGAGCACCAGCCCCATCTATGAGAACTTTGCCCTCAAGACCTAATTCCTCTCCAAGCCCCTCCCTCAAATGACATTGGGCATTTCTTTTCAGCATATGCATTTTAGGTTTTAGTGGTTGCATGCAGACCACAGCAACTCCCTTTTTGGCTTTACAGGGCTACTGAGAAATATCTGGGCACTTTAAAGGAAAGGGTACTGACCTGAGGATCTTGATAGCTGAATTATGGTGAACAAGCCATTAACCTCTACATCAATTTCTTCATCCATAAAATAGGATAGATCATTCATTTGAATATCAGTGTTTACATGCTACTTGTTAGCACTGCTATAGACAGCAATTATACACTGTAAAATAACTGGAAAGATTTGTTTGGGCAAAGCAAACTTAATATTTACATTTTATTTTTTAAAATGAGTTATGCTGGCCTCCCTCAACAGTCAGTCCAAGAGGAAGAAAACAGGCAGAGAATCTTGGTGGTTTGGGACTCAAAAATGAATCGGGGCTATTTATATACTGGTAAAGTTAAAGGTTACATTTCATGTGACAATAGACAGTGGATTAAGTTTCACTTGAGAAAATGTAATCTTTTTAATGTAAGCTTCAAATTCATGTAAGAATTTGTTGTAAACAGAGAGGCCAGGATGCTTTCATAATAATGATATTTAATAAAAAGTACAATTTGTACAGAAAAGGAAAAGAATAAAGGAACTTTATTCCAACAGTGAGGGGGAAGAGTTGTGAGTAGGTAGATGGAAAACAATAAAAGTAAGTGAATGGCTGGTTGCATGAATAAATGTTTCAATAGATAGGTAGAAAAGTAACATTAAGAAAAATGTGCATTTACATGTATATAGGTAGATACATCTTCAAACTGATTTTAAAACATTTTTCAGTTAGCAAGTTAGCTCAGAGCTCTGCCTCCCAAAATGTATGTGACAATTATCCTGTTTTCTTATCTCTTTTATTGACTGTAAGTCTGTCATATTGTAGTTTTAAATCACTTCCATGTTATTTCCATGCCCAGTGAGGTAAAGCTTCCGACTCCCTGACCTGGTCCAACAATTATGTGAAAGAGAACTGGCTGAAATGTCACAGACAATAGTTTCATTTTCTCTATGACAAATTCAAGTCTCTTTTCTGTTGTTTGTACACAAGCTCCTGACAGGTTTGAGATAATGTAGCATTTTTCCTATATTTTCTGAAGATGAATAGAGAGTTCTAGAAATGATTTTGTTACTTTATAATATAAAATAACCCAGTTATTTTCCCCAGAATAGGAGGTCAAATCCTGTCACCTCTTGTCTACAGACCCCAGTTTGACTTTCTTAGACCTAGAATGCTATATAAATAGTTTTATAATTTTATCAGAGGTTGGTGGGATGTATTAGGATTCTGAAGAGGAGCAGAACCAAGAGAATGAATAGATCTATAAAAGGAATGGTTTACACAATGAATAAATAAGGGGCTACATAGTCCAACAGTGTCTATCTGCACACTGGAGATGTGAGAATCCAGCAGATGCTTAATTTACCAGGTGGATAGTAGATGCCTCAGGCTGGGTATCTCTGCAGTCACAGACTGGTGCTAAGGATTGGCTTGGAAGATTCCTTAAGAGCTGTTGTTCTTTAGTCCATTTTGGAAGGCCAGAGAGGCCGGGTGCCAGTATCATTGAATGATAGCAGCAACCGTGGCAGTGACCCAGTAGATACACGCACTATCAAGGAGAGAAGGCAGGCAGGCAGGCAGGCAGGGAAACAGACATCTACTTTTCCCATGGACCTCTACATCTCAGCACTGCGGGAAGTTATTATTCAGTCTCAACCCCTCAGTTAATCCTTCCTAGAAATACCCTCACACATCTGCCCAGAGGCATGCCTTTTACTTAATTCCAAATTTGATCAAGATGGCAGTCAAGACTAAGCATCACAAGGTGATTTCTAAAAATTTCTACTTACTTAATGTACTTCCACTTTTTAGACATAATATACACTTTGTTCATATGCTCACTTTACTCAGATATATACTAAAATAGGTACAGCATTCAAAGAAATGGTACCACTATATAGTTATGTAGTGAGCAATTCCTTTATAATTTTTGACTCTTTGTTAAGTGTTGATAAAATCTCATAAAATCTCAAAGCTTATTTCAAAGAACACTCATTTTACTTGTGTCAAAGTTTAACAGGTGACGTATCAGCATAATATATGTTTTGATCACAATTATTGTCATTATCTATAGCAGCAGGATTCCTCCCCTGACTAAATAATAGATAGAATCCTACCACAGTGCAGTAATTAATTTATTAATCCTCACAAAACTCAAAATTTCTCAGTGTGTGCTTATTTATAAGAATCAACTTTAGTGAGACTTAATGAAAAGAGAAATGTTAATGAGGTTTTTACTAGGAATAATCTTTCAATCCTATAGCTGCACAATGAAGACTCAAAGCAGATTCAAAATATGTGTGCATTTTTGTTTAGAAGTGAGTCATGTGACGAACAGTAACTGGACTGAGAAAAATGAATAGGGTGATCAGCAAGAGAGAATTTTCAGATGCCACTATGGAGAATGTGGGCAGTCCTCAGGAAGGGTGGTCATGGAACTGAGTTCAGATTGCAGGAGGTATGGGAAAATCCAATCAGGGGCACCACCATTAAGTTACATAAAGCAGAACCTGTGGCTGCTGGCTCTGCCGCATACCCCTCAGTGACTAGTAGGTAGATGACCTAGAAGGTCTCCATGTACATCCCTCTTCAGTCAACCATCTGTCTTTGTCCACTCCCTAACAACCTTAACCCTCACAAAGGTCACCCAGTCTCCTTTCATTCACTCCTGATTCTTCTAATGGATTCTTTTGAGCTAAGTTTCAGTGAAAATCTGATTGGACCACTAATTTTGACACAGTTTAGCACCTTCCTGTTGTTCTAAATTTTTTCACATGACTTTCAAACTGGGGCACTGGGGCTGCTACTTCTGCTGAGAACTCAGCTTTCTTGTTTGGCTGAACTCTGGTACAGTACCTTTGTGGCAACTATCCTTAGCTAGCTTTCTTTCTTTCTTTCTTTCTGTCTGTCTTTCTTTCTTTTTCCTTCCTTCCTTCCTTCCTTCTTTCTCTTTCTTTCTTTCTTTCTTTCTTTCTTTCTTTCTTTCTTTCTTTCTTTCTTTCTTTCTTTCTTTCCTTTTTTGGTCTTTTATGAGACGGGGTTTCCCTGCAGCCAGCTGGCCTGGAATTTACTATGTAGACCAGGCTGGCCTAAATCTCACTTAACACAGAGATCCACCTGCCTCTGCCTCCTAAGAGTTGAGAGTTGGGTTCAAAAACATGGCCACCAAGCACAGCTTGACCCTTCTTATCAATAATTCCTTCTGGTTGGAATCCCTTACCAGCCCCTCCCTGTATAATTCCTTCCTTCTTTTCCATTGCATTTCAAATTGAACCTTTCCCAGAGAAGCATTTCTCAAATTATTTTGTAACTTTATATATACCAGATTAAAATTCCTATAAACACAGGGATTCTGTATTATGTTTAATAAGATTAGAATTAAATAAGTATAGAGATAAGATTTTAATAACTCTGATACTAGATTGTAAGGCATTTGTTATTAATAACCCTCTTTTTCACTACTGTATCCACAGACCTCAACACAAGGGCATAGAAATTCAAATAATGAGGTTAAGTTCAATGGGAAAGCATGGACTCATGCTGTATGAGGCCCAGGTTTCAATCCCTAATCCAATAAAATAATGCAAGTGTTGATTAAAGATCATACAGGTTAAATGAACAATTGTTAAAATGGATGATTGTTTATAGGTCGATAAGTAGGTAGATGATGATAGATAGATATAGATAGATAGATAGATAGATAGATAGATAGATAGATGGATGAATGATAGATAAACACAGAAAGACAGACCGAAAGGAACTAGGCCTAAGTATTTAATGCACATATACAGTTTATATTATACAGGTATTTTTTTACCAGACCTGGGCCTGGAAGCTCATCTTGAGGAAAACAGTGTCCTAAAGAAGAATGTTTGAGTTAAAGAAAAGGCTCATTGGCCAAAGAATGGCCATGAGGGAACTCACCAGTCAGCTTCTCAACTCCAGAGGGAGGCCAGAGGTGTGATAATCAGTTTTCATTGCTGTGATAAAATATCTGACAAAAATCAACTTAAAGGAGGATAAATTAATTTTTTCCCATAGTTTATGAGGTTTTCGTCCATGATTAGATGATCTCATTGGTTTGGTACCAACGTGAAGCAGAACACCAGACAGCAGGAAATGTGGGAGGAGGCTCACCATGATCTCAGTAGCTAGGGAGCAAACAGAGAGAAGAGGCTGGGGACAAGCTCTACCTGCCAGAATCCACTTCTGATGGTGACCTATTTCCTCTAGCCAGGCTTTATCTGCTAGCTTCCAGCACCTCCAAATATTGCCATTAAGTTTGGAGTCCAGCATGATAGCTCACATTTGTAATCACAACGTTGTCTCAGGAGGCAGAACTAAAGGCATCTCAAGTTGGATACCAACTGAGATTGGATCTCAAAATTAAATAATATGAATCCATTGATGGATTAGTCCACTGATGAGGTTAGAGCCCCTGTGATCTAATCATTTACCCAAAGGCTGGCAAAGAAGCCTAAAACTTCTGAGCATGTGGGGGGGGGGGTCGTCACTTTATATCATGAGAGTGGTTACAGATCTAGGAAAATAATAATGAGATAGAACAATAGCCTAGTAAATGGAAGGAACATGCATGTATTGTCTGGGATTAGACATAAGATTTACAGGAACTGAGATGCCCCCTCTTTTTTTTTTTTTTTTTTTGTGGTCCCGGGTTTCCAATCCTGTTTGGTGTTTTTAGCCTTGGAGTGGTGGGAAGTACTAGCAAATCTAGGTCACATTAACTCTGTATTATAGTTTAAGGCAAAACATATCTCAGATCACCAACATACCTACATTTCATAAGTGAAGCTGTGTAGAATCTGACTGAAAGGTAAAGGCACAGTAGAAGACTTCTGCCAAGCCTTTTCATCCAGTGCAGTTACCCACCCCACACAGATAAGTTTTTCTTCAGTAACAGTGTCATTATTATATTCCAAAGGTAGAAAATAGTGTTTTTCCCCATCCTGTACCTATAGCGTGCTATCTTCCCAAATCATGGTTATTCTAGACTTGATATTTTTTTTTACTGTCTCATCTTTATTACATAAAGTGTTCTTTCTCCTTAAGCAGTTCCTCCAGTGTCCATTTTACCCAATCACACTAGACATATTTTTTTAAGGTTCATTTAGCTGTTAACTCCTATTGCCCTCCTTCTTCTTTTCTTAAGGTATGTTATTTCTGTGCTGTATTCTCACAATGCTGTGGGAACACAATTCTGTTACTACATTTGCATTGCTAAATTAATATTACTGGCTTTTATGTACACTCTTCCTGTATTAGATTTTTTTTTTCCTTTTTCTTGTTACTGTGACCAGGTATCATAGAAGAAGCAACTTAAGGGAAGAAAGGTTTATTTTGATTTATAGTTTGGGTTTACAGTTAGTCCCTAATGCTGGAGAAGGAAAGAGTGGTGCTAGGTGACTCCACGGTGGCACAGTATGTAGCTTGGAATCTCCATCTCATATCCCACCAAATCAAGAAGTTAAGTGGGAAGGAGCCAGTGCTGAGCCATAGAACAGTAATGCCTGCCCCCAGTGACCTGCTTCTTCCATCAAGTCTACACTTCCGAAATGTCCCATAAAGCCAAGAAGGAGCGGCCAACAGAGGACTAAGTGTTCAAACACAGCTTTGGGAGCATCTCATATTCAAACTTTAACACCCTCTCTTAACAGCTATCTGAAGGCAAAGAGAGAGAGAGAGAGAGAGAGAGAGAGAGAGAGAGAGAGAGAACCACCTTTAATTTCTCAGGAATAATTTCTATGATTTATTCAGTTTTAAGGTTCAGAGAGACAAAATAGTTATAGCAATTTTTATTTTACTTTAAAAACTTACTTTTTATATTTTTCTTATTAATATTTTTATAATTTATAGTTTCTTGCAAACTTTTTTTAGTGTGAACATTGAAGAACATTGAATGTCAGTGTTTTTGTAGGGATTTTAATTTTTTGTTTTCATAAATAATTTTGGGTTTAGGGTTGTTGGGTTTTTTTGTTTGGTTGCTTGGTTCCGTTGGGGTCTTTGTTTTTGTTTTGGTGGTTTTGATTTGTTTTGTTTTGGGTAGGGTTTTTCTCTGAGGCCCTGACTGTCCTATATAGCCTAGACTGGCCTGAAACTTAACAGTGATTGTCTTGTCTGCCTCCCAAGTGCTAGCATTCTAGAAGCAATACTACCATGCCCAGTGTTAGTATCATTTACAGGCCATGCATTGTACTTCTCTACTTTTTCGAGTCATAATAATGAACATTTGTAGAATTTTTACTGGTTTATTTTGTTAATCATCAGCATGCTGTATAATTGCTTTGTTATTATTGTTACTATACTGTTTTTCTCAATGAGAAAAAGTTTAAATAGTTCAACTTCCTGAGTTGATTGATTCATTTGCCAGTGTACCACGATGAAAAATTAGGAGATTTTACAAATCAGGCAAAATATGTTTTTCGTTAACACAGTATCTTCAAAATTAAGGATATAAGAATTAACTTTCATGATATCAGTGGTCAATAAGAAAATCAAAATGAGTTATCAAACAGAGAAACAAATATATAACAGCACTATTGTTTTCATATTGCATTACAAAATATTGAATCTCTATGAGATGGAGGCCAGCCTGGGATGGTCTACATAGCTGTTCCAGGCCAGCTAGAGCCAAAGGGATACCCCATCACAAACAAAAACAACAATAGAAAGAGTGACCAATAAAAGTACCTACGTAAAAGTATCTTTCATTTCTATTCTATTAAATTATAGCTGAAATCTGGAGAAACAGCTGCCAATATTGCCAGGGAGCTGGCTGAGCAGACCAGAAATCATTTGAACGCTGGGGACATCACCTACTCAGTCCGTGCCATGGACCAGCTGGTTGGCCTCTTGGATGTACAACTCAGGAACTTGACACCAGGTGGAAAAGACAGTGCAGCCCGCAGCCTAAACAAGGTGAGGACCATAGCTGTGTCTAACTTCAAATCTCAAGTAAAATCAGTGACATATCCTTGCTTAATGTTTCTTGCTTCTATAGTCTGAGAATCCCAAAGATAACCAATACTTACATCCAACTTCAGTATTTCATTACAGTCATGGCATTTTTTGACTTTTAATCTAGAGATATTATATGGCAATTTTGCCATATATATTTGTATATACATTTCTATTTTTAAATTTTGAAACACTTACCTAGTTTTTTATGCTAAATTATGCCAAAATTAGTGTGGATGAATATACTTGGTTTTAATTTTTTTTCCTACAAACTCTTATATCAAAATAATTGATGGGAAACAAATGTCTAATCAGTAAATAGAAATTTAGGAGATATTAACGAGAGCATATTAACGACCCATTATTAATTTTTAAAAATGAAGTAATTTAACCTAGTTATATTACTTTTAAAAACTACTAGAGCATGTAATTGGATTTTAATATATACTTCATTTTAATTTTTAAATAACTCAGATTTTTGTATCATTATGAATAAAATGTTAAATGCTTAACATATTTTAGCAAATGTGAATTTTAAATAAGAAAATTTGAATATTTTGAATTTGAAGAAAATATATGTTCTGAATTTTTGTTACTATTTTTATAAAGAATATTATTTGCATGAATTTATTTAAATAAATTACAAATATGACATATATGATATGATATATATGATTATAAAGAATTTCATTTATTTATATAGCAAAATATCACATATTAAACTAACCTTATTGTGTAAATGGTTAGAATTGCTACCATCAAATAAAGGTGTTCCTTGAGTGATATTAACTGAATTTTAGGGCCTTGACTAACATTGTCTTTCTAACTTTAAAGTAAAAGTAAAAATTTGATATTGGAGGACTAATGTTCCTCTAAAAAATTTAGAGGAACTAAATTCAGAGGGAATTTTTAAAATATTTGCTTTTTGACTGAAAAAATGACTTTGTAGAGTTATCTTAGTGTATTTAGTTCTCTCTTTTAGTGGGGTAAGAATTTCACTCAAAGTGCAAAAACAGTTTTTAAAATGATAATCTTTCAATTTTAAAAAGCCAGATATTTTATCTGGCAGATAACTCTTGCTGCAATTTCATCTTTGGAAAGCAGGTACAATGTTAATCTTTATTTATTAGATATAATTTATGAGGTCTTTTTGTCATGCTGAGCATAAGGGAGTTATTGTTTTTTCACTTGTATCCTGATAGAATCACAAGCAAGCCTCTGATGGAATAATCCACAGCTGCCTATATGGTGTGGCATGCTGTGATTTTAATGTGTTGTTACCCAGGCTGATGGGATGCTATTAATGAATATGGCTGCCAGCTATTCTTATCATAATGTGCTAGGAGTACTGATTTCTATTAATGTTACATACCATAACATGACATGTTATATTGATACTTTGTATCTTTATTTAAAAATGGTGTAGATGTCTGAGACTATCAGGTAAAGTTGGTAATTAATGTCTCATTCTAACTGGCTATAGCTAATCAGCTTGCGTAGGCTGAATACCAAATAACTACATAATGGGCAAATTTCCATTTGTGAGGCTTTTTAATGCTCTCTTTTGTTTCCCATTTGGCTCTCCCCAATTGTTTACATAATGTGGTTTGTCATATGTTAATTTGCATGACTGGGTAAGGAGATGAAAGGGTAAAGGTTATTCACGTGCTTGCTGGCTTGCTCTCATTTCCTGTGGCTCCCACTATCCCTGAAACAGTTATACCCATCAGATTTGCAAAGTCAACTAGGTACAAATCAGTTGCACTCCACCTTTAAATTCTGCAGGGCTTAGAGGCTTACAGAACTATGACCTGAGTCAGTGATCCAAATGACAGCCCTGGTGATTCACTTGCATTCATTTTTCACTTAGTTCTCTCTCATCAAAGAACGCTTGAATTACAGTTGGAGTAGTATTAGCTAGCTACATAAAAAGCATCATAGTAACTGTTTCTTCAACTGGATAATTTTAATTTACCATTCACGGTACCATTGAAGGGAACAAAAAACAGCAGAGAAGAGGAGGAAATCACACAATCTTATTTATAAAATTTTGGGTCACTCATTTAAACAGCATGAATGAAGGATTATTATTCATTTTAGTACCAGGAAAATAAGTTTGGGCCTGAGTATGAATTTCTGTCAAACTTTTCCCACAAAAACATCCTGTACAGACACAAGCAAGCTTCTCCCACCAAAGTTTCTAAAATGTATTCTATTTTGGTCAAAACTGTCAAAAGTAATTCTTGAAAAAATAAAAGCAACAAGTCAGGAAATTAATCACATTCCTTTAATCTGAAGTTATATCTTGGCATTTACCCCTTAGGCTTAAACAGTCACGATGAATGGGCATTTCTATCTTCCTGATAAATAGAATTTTTGTAGGTATTGTTAAGGTTCAGATAGCCCTGCCCCCTCACCAACAGGATCCCAAGGACTTCTTATGCTCCTGAGAAAAGGGAACCTAGCTGATAAGCACCTTGGTCTTTGAAGTCAAGAGAAGCAGACTTTTCTCCACTGTTTGGCCAACACAGCAGGCTTCCCCTTTGATCTCTAAAGAGAACAGGTTTTACCAGTCCTGCTCTCCCACTTCCCCCCCCACCACCCAACTTTAAAAAAAAATACATCTTCCCGCCTTCTGTAGGAAGCAGAAGCCTCCCTTTTTAAAAGAACCCAGCTCAAGACCCGGGCAGACATTTTCCCTGCCCTGAAGGGAATCTGTCCCATGTGTTCCTTTGCTAATAAACTCTGCTTTCTCCTGATCAACCCTATTCGTCATACGACAACATTTTATCTATCAGGTATAAATGAACACATAACATGAACCTGAATCAACCATCTGGATTGTCTAAGAACCACAAATAATTTGCTATTTTTGAAATAATAGCTTCCAAACTTTTTTCAGAATTGACTTAACATCTATGTCTCCGTTAATACTCATGAACGAATAACTAACTGGATGTGACTGGATCATTTCACATGAATGTATATTGATTTTTTACTAATTTCTACTAAATGTATTCAAAGATGTCTTTCTATCATTAATGGCTGTCTACCATCTAGGTTTTCACTTGGGTTGTTCTGACAGGTTTTGGCTACTAGATTCAAGCCAAACATTACATATTGCTGCTGTTTAGACTTCATTTTCTTCTATAAAGTAGTGAATAAAAAAAAATAAGGTGTTGTGTAAATGTGTTCTTTTATTTTTCTTGTTTTCTTCTGTCACTAACTTGTTTTTTCTATTCTGTGTTTAATCTGCTGTCTTAATGGATTCAGCTTCAGAAAAGAGAGCGCTCTTGCAGAGCCTATGTCCAGGTACTTTCTGCGTTTTTATAAATGTGTTAAGCTGTTAAATTGTCTCTGTTGGTGGTCGCATGCATGGACATCTGAGAAAAATGATAATGTGCCGGATTGTGTGGAAGGAATTTCAGGGAGTGCATGGAGGGGGGCGAATGGAAAGACAGAGTCTTGCTAATAGGGAAGTTGGCAGTGCCAAATTCTATCAAGCAAGAGGAACACAGTCTAGAGAGAAGGTATGGCTTGAGGTGGGTGCTTTTTCATCAGGTGAGTTCGATGCAGCATATAAATCTCTAATTTTTTCATCAAGCTCAATTTAAAAGAATTTCATTCATACTACGAGTACCAATTCATTCAGAATTGACATTCAGGCTAATATAAGGCAAGAAACAGTCTAGAATAATTGGAATATCTTGCTTGAGTTCCAAAATAAAACTCAAAACAGGCTTGTGGCTATGTAACTCTCTCATTGCAAAATATTACTCCCAAAGTAAATGTAATTTTTATCCAGTATGCAAACTTCATTCCCCAAAAGTACCACTGGTGAAGGTTATGGGTTTAATGTAAAAGAGAACAATCCTTAGACAAGCTTCCTGTCTCCTTATTTTTCCTTTTTTGTTTTTAGGTTGTTTTTTTTTTTTCTCTTATTTTGTGGGGATTTTGTTTTTATTTTTCTTTTGTTTTGTAAAAAGGCAAAAGGAAAAGGAAAATGCGAAGCTGTGTGCCTATGAACTCGGTGCTCTCTGTATACACGGCACAGCGAATTATAAAAGGAAACACAGGACTGGAGAGATGGCTCAGTGGTTCAGAGGTTCAGGACACTGGCTTTTCTTGCAGAGGACCCAGGTTGGGTTCTTGGAACTCACATGGCAGCTACAACTGTCTATACCTCCAGTTCCAGGAGTTCCAAAACCCTCTTCCTGCCTCCGTGGACATTGCATGGATGGGTGCACTTACAAACAGGCATGAAAACATACACAAAAATAGAAATAAATTTAAAATATAAATAAATAATGAAAATATAAAAATGAAAGGATATTCATCTGTACATAGAGAAAGATGACCCCAGAAGCTAAATTAGTGGCTGTTAAGGTTTTTTTTTTTTTAAACAGTTGATTCACAATTAAATGTCATATAGGAGCATTGGCTTAATCTATTAGTTTGCTTATATTTTTCCAATGAGCTAAATATCCTCTCTTTTTAGGTAACAGAAAAAACAAAAACAAAAATGGGAATTGAATTAATAATTTGGAAGTTACTTAGGTGAAAAATCATAGGATAAGGAATTAGATGACCTTAGGGAAAATTAGTCAGGTTGTGAAAAGCACAGTGCAGTAGACATTTTAATGAATGGGGAGTTCTGCCTTGCTGCTTTCTGACTGGCATTCTTTTTTAAAATTCCAGCTGTCCCTGTTTTAAAAATGCCATACATGAAATCCTTCATTTATTTCCTCAAAAGTGTTAACAAAACAAACACAATCTCTGCTGTAGTAACTATTTTTGCATCTAGTGGACAATATTGATGAATTAAAGTTTTGTTGTGAAAGTTCATCTTTTTTAAAGTTAGAGTCTCCCTCTGGAAAATGTAGCTATCACCTTTGATTGGATATGATGTTTTTCACATCTTATCAGTTACTCAAGAATACATCACAAGTGTTCCATATATGCCAGTTAATTTGCAGATATCCCAACTTGTCCATTAAGTGTTGATTCTGTAATACTTCTTTTTTCTTTAATGTCACTAGACTCATGGCTGTGGCGTTTAAAACAAAATTTTCCTGATGGAATAACAGGAGAAATGGCAAAGTAGTTTATTAAATATAAGTTCTGTATGACATGGGAACTTTTGGAAAAGAAAACCCAAAGAAGCAGAGAAAGTTGTGAATTTTTGTGCTTAGGGTTGATGAAGAGTGGGCCAGCCAAGGTTCAGTATGCTTGGACAAAGTCATGTTGTAACCTCAATAAAATGAAGGAGACTTTAACTTTAAAAAAGATGAACTTTCACAGCAAAACTTTAACTCATTAATATTGTCCACTAGAGGGGCTGGAGAGATGGCTCAGCAGTTCAGAGCACTGGCTGTTCTTGCAGAAGACCCAGATTCAAATCCCAGCACCCACATGGCAGCTAACAACTGTCTGTAATTCCAGTTCCAGGGGATCTGATGGCCTCTTCTGTCCTCCGCGAGCATTGCACGACACTGGTGCGCTTGCAAATGCACACATACAAATAAAATAAAAAAATAATAAAATACGAAAAAAATATTGTCCACTAGATGCGTTGCGAGGTCTGTTCATTCCTTTCCTGGCAATTCTGGGTCTTTGGTTCCTTTCTTTGGGATAAGTAGGCATCGCTCAAATGAAGACATTATAATGTGTCTCACAGCAAAGTCATGGAATTTTGTCCCCATTTTAATACCTGCTTCTGTGGAGAAGGGTAGGGAGCGGTGGAAGTGACATCCTGCCTGTGTAGATTTCTCAGGTGCCAGGAAGCATATTTTGAACCTCATCCATCCTTACTAATTTCAAGCTCAGATTTTGTTTTTAAGAAAGAAGCAAACAGAAATAATAGAACTTATGTCTTGTGAGTTTCATTATGAGTTGCAAGACATTAGGATGGGGAAAATACCCGCACTTTGTGAGAGTCATTTAAAAAGGAAAAACTAATTCGAATACTGAAGATTAGGAGGATTAGCTTTGAATTTGCATATGAAATGACTTTTTTGTATAAAAAAATGTTAAGGTTTATTTTTCTAAACTTTTGAAAAAAAATTGCGGAAGCATAGTACAAGAGGCAGAATTTACAACACAAAAAGCTGGAGATTGTTTTGAAGTAGTGTTAGGACTGTTTTCGATTGTAATTTATGCTATCCTTTAGTGGGGCCTTCAGGATAATTAGTCATTCAATGTTTAAATATATGAACTGCATGGTCATTCAAACATGAATCTCTGATGGAAAATTAATAGCACAATTTATTCAATGGCTGATTTCCTGGTGTTATAATTGACTGGCTGTGAATAAATGTTTCAGCTGTTGACTAAATATCTGATAAGACCTAATACAAACAGAGACTACCAGTGAAGCAGAAATGCTCAGTTGGACTCGATAATAGGAGTCACAACTTCTGATCATTTTTATGTAGATTCCTATTCCATGAAATCCTACAGTGAAGGTGCTTTACAACCATGTGTCTGTCTATTGGAATCAAGAAGAGGAGTTTGATGTTATCTATTGTTTGTATGTTCAGATCACATCTGGAGCTGTCTATGAAATGGGCACCTGATATACTTGAAAGGCTTTAGGCATTCAGTCTGGCATAAGACGACAGCTTAGTCATTGCAGGTTTCTTTAAATATGACGTTTCCAAATATATAAACAATGGGTTTTTCAGGACTGACTTTGACCGTCTGAATCCATTTAACTTTCAGTTCATTATTTTAAGAGTTAGTGTCTATTTTGTGAATTATCTAAATCTTTTTTTTTTTTTATTTTCTTGTTCCACATACCCTTTATTCTGTGTAAAAATAAAAACACCAAAATTGGACTTGTAATATCAGTTATAAATGATCTGAGTGTGAACAATTTCAGTTGGGGTGAGTTTTAAAATAAGACATGAATCTTTCAGAAGTCATTACATTTGCATTATAAGTTCTAAAAACTTTTCTGATTCCAATATAATTTGCTTTCTTCATTTCTTTGTGATATATATTACCATAAATCTTTATTGACTACTAAAAGATACAAATTGACATTTATCATAGTAAAAAGACATTTCTGTGCTTTGAGTCTAATACTTTTTAAAGCCATGCCTGGTGGTACAGGCCTGTCTGTACTCCTTGCTACATAGAAAGTCAGGCAACAGATAGCAATGTCAAGTTCTGCCCCAGAGTGAGTTCAAGTTCAGCCTGGGCAAGTTAGTGATACCCTGTTTCAAAATAAAAAGTAAAAACAACACTGGGATATAGCTCAGTGGTAGAGTGCTGTTTTTATTTAAGAAGAGAATTTTCAGTTTTATTCCAAGGAATAGAAGACTGCCATAAAAGCTTATTAAAAGAGCTACTATCATGTTCCCAGAAGGTAGCTTAGAGACCAAGAGGATCTGACTGAGACACAAAGGAGGTGAAAGGACTGGCCAAGACTGGTACTGATGACATGGATCCTGCTTGCCAGACAGGCATCTTGGTTTCTTCATTGCTAAGATGAAGAATAACAATGATTTTTTTTTTTTAATTAAGAGCAAGGCATTTATTAGGTAAATTGTCTGGCTATCATTGTGTAGAACAAGAAGCATTCACTTATTTATTATTATTTATTGATTGATTGATTGTTATTTACTTTGAGTGTAGTTTGAGAAGTCAGCCTTAGAGACCATCATTTAAAACTGTTAACTGACAGTGACATCTAAAGTCACTGCACTAGATGAAGTCAAGGAAATTTTTACTGGGGATTATAGGGTCAAAGCCTGGACTTTAGCAGTTCCATGAGGCTAGCTCAGCAAAAGAGCCTGTTATCTTGGAATCATCCTAAATTCTAAGTCAATATGCCGATTAAAGAGACAAGGAATGGTGACCGCATTTTAAAGAGGAACAGATAAAGGTCCCAGTGTCCTCCAAGCCTATCTTCTTCATCTTGAGTGTTAAGACTGAGTAGATGACAGGGCGTATGCATAAATAAGCAGGCCTCACCAGTTTGTGTTCCAACCGTCACTGACCCAGTGTTGCTTCAGCTCTGGCTTGTCCTGCAAGGCGTTCTGATAAGTTCTCAGAACTGTCTAAAATCTCTTCTTGGGAGACAAGTTCCTCTGTTGTTCGGTGCCTGGGCTTCAGTTTTCTCCATCCCTTGAGTGGAATTCCTGGGGAAACTTTTATTCTTTGAGGCCTCTTGTTTCAATAATCTGACAGTAAAAGCATCTCTCTTTGGAATATCGTTTTTTCTTCCAGAATGGTTTCAGAATGAGGGCTGAAAAAGAAAAGAATGTTGCACTAAGTCCCAGTATTCAGTAATTAAGAAGTCAGTGATT